GACTTGGCTCTTCTTCAGGTAGAGGGTAAAGTGTTGCATTTCTTCTGTGTCCTTTCAAACACATTTGTTCCTCCTATCTGTGAGGTTTTGGGTATCAGTCCTCTCAGCACTTGTTCATTTCTAGGTGTGCTGGTCTGTCCAGCATTACACTAAAACGGAGACTTTACTGTAAGATACTACTACTGTAAGTAGTTACTTCTTTCTGGATGGTCAGAACTTCTCAAGATGATAGTGAGTGAATTGCTGGTCAAGATGACAGAGCATAAATCTGCTTGAGTAGATGGAAGGGATCTATCTATGTAGAAGGACATAAAGGAATGTTGAGGAACCCAAAGTATTATGGCTGTATTATCTAATACATGACTTTGAGTATTCCTCAAATTCATCTCTTTCTGTAATTCGACAGTTTCGATGTAAAATGTTCCAATTGAGAGTCAACTCGGGACTCTTTTTTTCTTGGTTTCTAAAGTTGAGTGGAGACAATAGTACATCTTCAGAGAAGATATCTTGTAAAATTTATGATTGCCAGGAGTTAGTCAGGATTATGAGGGTTTAAAATGGCTGGCAAAGTTTAAGTCATTTTATGCTCAGAATTATTGAAACAGACTGACCGCTTCCATTTGCTAGGCTATAATGAGCATCCAGACTTCTCTATGTTTGAAGCAGCTTCTAGCTTTTTCAAAATCATTTTATCTTTCATAAGAAACACTGTGTATTCTTGGTTCACAGAACAATGTGTTCTGGAGCTTTTCTATTGACCCTAGGAAACATTTGCTGCAGTTGAATTTTTAGACTTACTGTAAATGCATTGATGTATTAAAGGTTACAAAATGCTTACTGGGGATGTTCATAATTTTTCTTCTTTGTTTACTTCAGAATAGATAAACTGCATTTCATTTCAAAAAACAGTTTAATATTGGCTGATGCACAAAAAAATTGTTCTTGTAATTTTGCATCGTGTTTCATAGCTGGAATAATTTTTTAGACATCATCTGAATCTACGCAATAAGGAATTTTGTACTGTCAGAGCAAAGGTCTCTTTAATTTCAAGTGTGTATGTGTTTCATATTTTTCTGCAATTATATTTTTCCCCCCTTTTCTTTCATTAAGAAATGTTCTTTTGCATGTGGAACTAATTGTACTTTTTTTGTTCATCGGTGCTTTGCGAAAGGCTAAGAGCTTGATTTTTTTTCTTTTTCAGTAACTGGATTTTATTCTGAGTAAAATCTCACGCTTTTTTCCCCTTTCATAACTACTTTTTAAGCAATATAATCTACAGAGGTATAAAAATGCACTATGCAATGTCATATTTCAGGCAGTCATACTGGATTGAACTGTAATTAATTGCTGTTGCTGAATACACTGTGGTCCTTATTCTCTTTTCATACCCTAGCTTTTCTTTGTGTGTAATAATTCCATCCAGGAAGAAATCTAATTACTAAGATAATTAACACCTTATCACCAAATGGAGTTCAGACATTTGTAGAGTTTATGAATTTTTAAAATATGTAATTTCCTTTTAACTGAATGACAACTGGTGTTATGGAGAAAAAGAGCATATTGTATTGCATCTAGCTTGATTGGACCTTATAATTCATGTTGCTATAGAAACAACCAAACCTTTATAAAAGATGGTATTACTACTACCATTGGTAATAAATGCTTTGACTGTTGCCAATAGTGTCATTAAAATGGTTAAAATAACTTCATTTTAATGGTTTTGTCAAATGTAACGAATGTTCTGAGAAATGGCAGCTGATGTTACGTGATACTGATTTATAATGTACTTTTTCTTCTAGAAGCTTGCTATTACCGCATAATATATTTGTGATATGAACAAAATCATGTTGCAGAATACAGTGCTCCTCTGTTCACTCAGTCCTTAAAGCTAACGAATTTTACTGTTACATGATATCAAGCAGAACTTCGTATCTTGCAGTTTGTCAGTCTTAAGAAAGCAGTGGTAATTGAGACTCTTTAGCCAGCAGCTCTGGGGATTTTTGCTGTTCTGTGCAATATTCAGCTTGTGTTTCCCACTTAAAATTATTGGACCAAGTCATTGAAAATGTTCAGTTTTATATTGGGTTTGATTTGGCATTCAAATGCCATGTTTTAACTTCATCTCAAGTGATGAAGTCTGAATTCATGAACTCAAAAAGGAGTTGAAAGAATTTGATTGCTTTTGTGGGGATTTTCATAAGGAAAAGGTGAAAGAGGATTCTAATAATGTAATGTCTAAAAAATTCCTTTGCAGTGAACTGTATATGCAGATATATGTAAGAAAAGGAGGCCAAGGCATTTGCTTTACTTAAATAAAAAGGAGGGCTTTTTTTAAGTTAAAAAAAAAGTCACAGAACATATTTACTACCATATACTGTTTGTATGAAGACCACTGTGCTGAATATAAGCTATGTGTGCTGTAATGTTTCACCTAATCAAATTACTAAGAGCAATATTCTCTGCTTCCACTTTCTTGGATCTTTAGCCAACAAATTCTCCTGGTCCAGTAGAACCCATTGTTGCAGGAAGTTTTTCTTTCAGCTATTCAAACTCTTCACCCACTGTAGCCACAGCATTATTTTTTCTGTGGTAATATACTGTCTAATAAGAAATCGGCCATTCGAATGCTTTTTTGGATTGCATGCAAATTCATTATGCTGCATTCACAGTTCTGCTGTCTCTTGTCCTGATGAAGGGAAGTCTTACAGACACTTCCTCAGAGAGACCCCTTCTTAAGCTCAGGTGCTGAGCTTTGCTTGTGGCAGTAGTCTTCATGCCGTTCACCCCTAAAAGAAGCTGTATGTCAGCTGTTCCCTTGCCTGTAGGCTACTTAAGATCTGTAGAATTATTTAGGTTGGAAGGGACCTCTGGAAGTCATCTCATCTATTCCCCTCATTTGAAACCAGGTCTCATTGAAAGGGCTAGCTCGAAGTCGGATACCACCAATATCTTTATACAGTTCTTTTCCTCATAAATCATATTTTCTCCAGGTCATCAGTCTTACTGATAGTGCAGAAACAGTCTTATCTGTATCAGTAGGGAGCACTGAGCACTTCTGAGCACTATATATTTCTGCCTGTCTGCAGAAGAGGTTTATCACTATTCCGACTTTTCACAAGCATGATGAATACAAAACAGTGCAGTGGTTTCACAGTCTCTCATAGGGCAGTGGTCATCCAGCTGGCAGGTGTCAGATTTGGAAACTGAAGTTTTTATCTCCTGGGTTCCTCAGAGTGCTCTGTAAATACTGTGCAGTAATCTCTTGGTTGTAGGTCATTTTTCTGAGCCATATCAGAGAATCATAGAAGGGTTGATGTTGGAGGGGAGCTCTAGAGGCCATTTTGTCCAAACCCCCCTGTTCAAGTAGAGCTAATTGCTGTCTGTGTCCAGACAGCTTTTGAGTATCTCCAAGAAGGGAGACTCCACAGTCTCCCTGGGCAACCTGTGCCAGTGCTCTGTCACCCTCAGTGAAGAAGTGTTTCCTGACAAGGAGCACACCACCTGAGCCCTCATGCCCTTGACTACTGTCCCCCCAGGTGCTCTGTAGTCACTTTTAATACTGTCCAGGTTTCCACTCGTGTCATTTGTGCCCATGTGAAATAACAATAGGGAGTAGTAGTCAGAGGGCCAGATAAACCCCACAACATCCTGGCAGACAGCACACCTCTCTGGATGATTGGTTCAGTTGACAGATGGGTGCCTGTGTCCCTGTCCCCCTGCAGCAGGGATTCACCCATTACAGTGACTCGCTGCTTCTTCCTGTCTTTAGGGGCTGGGTAGACGAGATATTTTGCTTGTCAGCACATCTGGCTCCTCTTCAACCTTGAGGGCAATAACATATTTTGCAGTTGTAAGCCCTTAGGTGGGGCAGATCCTTCCTCTCAGTGTCAGAAGTCACCAGCTTCCATCATTCCCTTTCTCCAGAGGTTTTGCTTCCATTGGGGGTTGTCAATACTTGCTTCTCTACGGCAGATGGGGGCTAAGGTTCTTCAAGATGTGGAGCTGCAGAGAACATCCTGTTTATCTCTCTTTCATCTCCTCTCACGCTGCACAGCCTGCTCACTTCTTAGGTAACTCCTTCAAGACAGCACAGCTTCTGCAGGACAAAGGGCCATCTCTTCTGGCATCAGAGAGAGTCCCCAGGGGCTCCCCACAGCCTGAGATGCTTGCAGGGCTGCCTCAACCCTCTGAAGTGAGTGCAAGCCTCGACCCTAGCACAGACAGCTATTCCAGCATTCTACTGGGGAAAATACTCACTGGCACATTACCGCCATGCCTAAGACTTGCACTATGGCATGATTTTACTTTATCCCCTTCTGTTCTAACTGCTGTGTCTGTTGGCTGCCTCTGTTAGCCACACTTTCTTAAACTGCTGTGTGTGAGGGTTCTGCATATTCACTCCAAGGGGAACAGTTAGGAAATGTTGACCTTGCTAAATCACAAGAGAGCTTAGTCCCTGTGCATTTGTAAACTTAAGTATTTTGCTTTCCTTTTAAAGCAAGGCATAGGCTGATTTTATGCAGTACAGAGTTAGAAATTAACTTGTGACTAAGAGATGTCTTACTGGCTTCAAAGCCAATTTTGTTCAAAATTGCTACGTTATATGGCATGCAAGTCCCCTCTTTTGGAATTCCTATTCTACTTCGATAGGAGCATTATAAAACATTAAGTAGTTTACAAATTCAAGTGAGTAAGTCTCAGAAGTTATAAATTTTGTGGATTAAGTGATCAGAATTTGAGAAACTAACAAGCTCTGGCGAACACCTATAATTTCAAATTAATGAGGAGTTGGTCCAGGTGTTTTCTTCTTTCTGTCACACTCCTAATCCAGTATTTGCTGTCATATCTTTCTCCTGTTGTGTGTGCTCTTGGCCAAGTACCAAATGGTCTCAGTTTCTGTAGATCAAGTTGAAGAGTTGTAAGTCTGTGTACACTGCCTTTTAAGGGAGCAAAACCTTTATATGTGCTTAGTTCAGTGTTCCTTTCTACTTTCTTTACAGAGTGCCTGGAATAACAATTGCTACAGACATCATCTGTGGTTTTCCAGGAGAGACTGATGAAGATTTTCAAGAAACAGTGAAACTTGTAGAACAGTACAGGTTTCCAAGCTTGTTTATTAATCAATTTTACCCACGCCCCGGAACCCCAGCAGCAAAAATGCATCAAGTTCCAGCTGCAGTGGTAAGATCCATTTTCTTGTGCCACTGTACATGGTGTACTCAAATTTACGTACATAAAGCATATATATGAAAATGTAGATTTTTTTGCAGAACTATGCTACAATTTGGTTAATTTATTTTTTATTTTTTTTTAGTCCAGTGAGTTAAATGATTGTTGAATTGCCTTTAGAGGTTAGCTAGGTCACTGAATGTATTTTCATATATAAATTACTCTTCAGACTGTTAGGGAAGGTGAAATAGTGGTTATACTGAAGTCATGTCTTCTTTCTATCAAGTTTCGGCTGAATGAATACCAGGAGAGGTAGTTGATTGATTTTGCATATTGTTTTTTTCCGTTTTAAGACTTTTGTGACTCCAGCAATCTCAAGCTTATTGTGAATAATTATGCGAAGTATTAATAATAGAGCAATGATAATTTCTGATTTATTTGTCCAATATCAAATTTGAAGGCAAATTCTTCTCAAGACTCTCTTTATACACTGCTTAGAAGCTCTGCTTCCTTCAGCCTGTATGTTAAAGGCCACTGACAAAATTGGCGTTAATCTTTCAGTTTTCAGGTGTTTTCCTTCTTTCTTTCTATTTTTGAGTGAGAAATATAACTCTTCTTGACATTCTCATATCGAATTCCCATAAGGAAAACAGCCTGTTTTAATATAGAAGGGAGATGGTTATTCGCTGCATTTTACTTGATATAAATAGCTATTTATAAGCAATAATAACAGCAATCACATCTGAAGGTGAGGTTTGATTTATTTTTAAAAAATTGAATTTGTATTTTTTGTAATCTGAATCTCAAAGCAAGTATACAAGACTGATGGCTGTACAATAATTCAACTTGTTATTTCATTATTATGGGCATAAATAACATTTATAGTTACTTTATTGTAAGAATGAAAGTCAGCCAACAATGTAAATCAGTTTAAACAAAAAACCTTTTCTTTCAATTTATGTATCCTGCTACACCAACATGAAATCAAAACTACATATCAGTAATTCTATCCCTTCGCGTATACATCTGAAAGTGAAAGAATATCTGCCTACTCTCGGTATATACCACAAATTGCATAGGATGTGTCAGCTGCTGAAGGCATAAAATGAGATTGTATTTGGCTCTTTGAATTTATTGTTTGGAGCTTGAGCAATGACTGCTCATTTATTGTAGGCTATCTCATAATGGGAAATACTCTGTTTTCAAATATAAATAGCTTATGTTGAAATACTCTGCTTACTGTAACCAGCTCACACTCTTGAATTATTTTTATTAGTTTTGAATGCTTTTTAAAAATTTCAAAGTGAAAAAAAATACAGAAGCATCATTTTTGGAAGTTAGGAAGCTTAAAAATTAAAACACTGATTTATGTCTCTGTTTTGTTTATATTCTTTCATCCACAAGTTTTTAAGCATGCTATTTTCACAGGAGGTGCAAAAAGCTTAAGTTAATTTACCCTCTTCTGTTTAACTGGGTGCCATGGGAAGCCAATATGTGAAGAGCTAAATTATTAAAAGAACATTAGCTGTTCTGTGGTTAAGAGTGTTACTGGTAATGTCATTTTAACCCAGTTTTACATCCTTTCTTTTTATTTGTAGTACTAGTGCTTATTGGTTTCACTTAATTAGAACTTTCAAAGAAGATGAGGCCTCTAATCCAGGGCTGATGAAAATCTGTAATTAATAGATTTTGTTTCTCTCTTTTCTCTCCCCACCCCCCTCTCTCCCCAGTTTTTCAAAAATCCTGTGTTATGAGATCCTTTTTTTCTTTTCTCTCTTTGTAGAAATGGAGAGTAACTAGTCAAACAGAGCAAGAAGAGCTCGTGCTAATCTCTTATGTTTTATATTCACATTACTACTAGACAGAACCTGATGGTCTATCCTGCAACATCAAGCATGGACAGGCATTTCATTTGTCATTCCTTGCCTAGTGTAATGTGTATGATTCTCTGCTAGGAGAAGGAAGTAGCACGTTACCATCCACATTATGCACTCTTACCCCTTTAATAAAATATTATTTGTGTCATCTTACTGTTAATGAATTCAATTCATTGCATTAGCAGGAGAAATAGGACATAAAGTGACATACAACTGTTACGTGCATCTGTACGTGTGATACATTGTATTACCTGCCTGATCTTGTGAACTAGTGTTTTTACAGGATTAACTAGTGTTTTTACAGGATGTTCATAACATTATCCTATGGTAAGATCTTGTCCTATGAAAAGGATTTTGTCTGTATTATTTAACTACAAATGCTGAACCAGTGAGCAAGTTACTTAACAATTGTTATTCTTGTCTTTAGGAAAAAAACAATCTTGGGTCTATTTGTTATGTTATTTTAGCTTTGCAATACTTCTGCAATGGACAGATCTATAGCTATTTGCAAACTGCTCATTACTGAGTTCTACTTCTCCAAGACAGCTCCAGTGATTCTGGCAAAGTATCACAGCTGCGATAATGTATTTGCTTTGTTGATTTCTTTTAAGTTAGCTCTTTTTAGGAAGACCTTGCAACTTATAGGGACTGTCTGTAGAGTATTAAACATAGTAACATTCGATGCTTTCAAATTTTGATAATTCCCTTTTTGGGGAAACCCCCCATTTCAGTTTATCTTAATAGAAAAAAACCCCAAGCAAACAGTAGGTCGACATAGAATCTTCCCTTCACATAGATAATTTATCTTTGAAAACCTTTCGGGCACTGATTTTTTTCTAAAAGGACAGATGACACTAATCCAGATGGACAGTTCTGCCACCATAAATTCAGAAAAGACAGTTAAGGCTTCAGGCCTTTCTTGTTTCTCCTGGAGAAAAAATGTCCATAGAGAATCAGACATCTGTCTAAATGGTCTTATAATTTCATAACTATCACTTAGATTATGCTTACCATAAATGTTGTCTCCAGTTCAGAGAAAAGAGCACAGTTAAGCAAAATGAGGCATGATTTTTTTTTGTTGTTGTTTCAGGGTTTTTTAATAAGCGATTGCAGTGATGCTGAGTCAACGTATTGTTCAGAACTTAAGTGCTACTTTTCTTGACTTTTACCTCCATTTTATCCACCTACTGCTAAATACATTGTTTCAGAAATTACTCTGGATGCTCGTTATCTCCAGTGAGCTATCTGTAGAAAATTCTCACTCTAAAGAGTGTTAACTATGAAATGCTATTTTGTAGATTGTTGTTATTATCATCATCACTATCATCATCATTTTGGACCTGGATTTCTCCATTTCCCGATTGCGTTCAATTGTAAAAGTGATAGTGCTGATAGCTGCATAACTCAAATTACAGACTAGGCATAAATATTTTAATAAGCAGTGTAAGAACATGATTTAGATGTGACTAGTACAGGTTTTATATTTAGCTGCATTGCAAATGATCAGAATGCTGTAATTTTAAGTGTAAAAATTAATCTTTTTGTCTAAAATTAAGGATCCATAATACCTTATGTTCTTGATAATTTTAATTTCTGTGTTCTTTATTTTTTCAAAGCAACTATTAGTTGTCTTGGAACTCCCTGTCCTTGAGATTTGGTCCATCACAATTTGTGAAAGCTTTAGGGTTTCATCATCATCTCAGGATCAGCTGGATTTCCATCACATGGAAATAACGTGAGGAAATAGTAATTTTAAAAATAGGGATCTTAGTAAAGTACAATTGGGTTCATCTCTACTGAGAATAGGAGATGGAAGCTGTTTTGAGAGCAGTAATGTGACTGCAGCTTCATGGTTATGCTGCCTTTAGCTGCAATGAGGATTCTAACATTTCTATATGTATTTTCAGTAGTGTAATCAATCCAATTTCAATTATTGGTGTAATTACTGTATTTTTTTTAAAGCATTGTGATGCCTAGAGAAAAGATTTAGCTATTCACTTCCTCTTACAGTCGTTTTCCTTCTTTCTTTCCATATATCATCAAATAATTACCTTGCTCCCAGATAGTAAATTTTATGTCAGTCAGCTACTGAACCTTTCCTTTAATTCCTCTGAAGAGTGTCTCCTTGAATTTTTCTCTCTGTATTAGTTGTATTAAGCACCCTGCCTCCTATACTGAGGTGAATAACCAAATAACAAACTTCGTAACAACTACTGTCTGATCTCAAAAATAATTTGCTTCAGGAATAGAGGTAGATACAGGATATTTTCTTTTACGGTGTACAGTGGGGAGCTACTAAAGTCTTTCAGTACTTGAAGGGAAAGGTGGGCATGCCATGACCATGGTGGACAAAGATGTGAGACCTTGTCTTACATATGAAAGTGTCTACTCAGTCTCCAAAAGCTCAGTTTTCAACAGCCTTTATCCCAGGCAGTGCTTTCCCGTCTGCCATCTGTCCATGTGCAAATGAGGTGTCCATACAAAACTGCTCAATCTAAAACTTCATCCACATCTGGGCATTCTATCTGTTACATATACCCATTGTTAACAGGGGAAAAATAAAATAAAATCCATGATCAGACATTGTATCCTCCTCCATTTACTCAAACCATCACTTAGATCTGTCACTATATTTACCAATTGTAGAAGCAATACATAATGCGCTAACAGATTCTTTTTACTATTAGGATAGCATATGCACTTTCTTGGTGTTGTCTGCCAAACAAGTTGTATTTGACCATTTCTGTGGGAGCAAACCAACCATCTTGTATTTTACGCCTTTATGTTGGCTACTTATTTTTCTGAGGCTGCTTTGCTTATGCTTCCCTCTAAGAGGTCTCCAAGAAGTTTCCTGACACCCTTTCATGACTGAGTGGCTGCAGATCCCCCATATCTATCTTACCTGATGAAAATTCTGCAAGACCCTAGAAATAGGTATTCTCAGGTACCAGCAGATACAGTATGATGTTTAATTCCTCCTCTTGTGGACGGCTATAGGTTTTGTAGTTCTGAATTTCCACACACTAACAGCTCAGTCTTCTTTGGTAGCTCATATGCTCTTACTTATTCAAAATAAAATTATCTGTGTGTCACCAAACCATCCTTGACTGACTGAGAAATAACTGCATTCCTGTC